GTACAATACATGGACCTAACCCTATCCCTATCCCTACCCCTAAACCTAACCCTACCCATAATTTATCCCTAAAATCAAAGGGAAACGATAGTTGAATAACAAGGGTGTAGAAGCACCTAACTCTGGTTGTAAGGCTGAAACTGACATTTTCTGTAAACTTATCCCTCAATTCTGATTGATTGCTTGGAATGTTGTTCCACGATCAACAAGGATGTTGATCCAATAAGACATGTTCCTGGATCAACATTTTTTGTTGATCCTGGATCAACATTATTGTCCAAAACATGGACCTAACCCTATCCCTATCCCTACCCCTAAACCTAACCCTACCCATAATTTATCCCTAAAATCAAAGGGAAACGATAGTTGAATAACAAGGGTGTAGAAGCACCTAACTCTGGTTGTAAGGCTGAAACTGACATTTTCTGTAAACTTATCCCTCAATTCTGATTGATTGCTTGGAATGTTGTTCCACGATCAACAAGGATGTTGATCCAGGAACATTTTGTACTTGGTGAAATCACGATCACCATATATGTACATGTATGTGTTTAGGTCCAAGTATGCACATGCCATTTATATCATAACAAAGTGGGTCTTAACATGTGTCAGCTCAGCGTTTTGAAGAACTTTAAGCTGTTTTAAATGCATTTATTTCCTTTTTCCTTAAAAAATAAGACTTTTCGTCAATTAAAAATGGATGAAACTAAAATGAGCATTGATGTCATGACCCCTGCATGACTGCTGGCTCAACATCAGTGTTTTGCACTTGGAAGGAATTTGACCTTCATAGAGTCAGATGAACTTAGATCTTGCCTGCTGCCATTCACATGACTGATGATGCTGCACTTGCCTTGCACTTCAGGGAGCTGCCATCAAGTGTGGTTTGCTTCCGAGTCTTCAAGATAAATGTGTCTTCTGTCTCCGCAAGCTGTAAATCTGAGTAGTATGGTATTAGACCACAGGTCTGTGTCACATTTCTCATGATCGGACAAAGGAAAATGTGTGTTTGCGTTTACTGTTTGAAATGTGTATTGTATGTTTGCAAGTAATTTGCTGCATCACGATTTGTGGCTACTTATTTTCCTGTCTGGTACTTTACATGTGCAGTACGAAGGAACAGTTGTGATGTTTTTAAATATTTTTTAAAATTTCAAGTTGTGTTTAAAGGCTCAAATGGTGCTGGTTTATGGATGTTACACAAGCTTCCCACAGATCTCTGCCACTCACAGCACTGCATGCCCTGAATCTACATATAAGACACAGAGAGCAGGGTTGCCAGGTTTTCACAACAAAACCCGCCCAATTGCTACTCAAAACTAGCCCAAAACTAGCCCAATCGCATTTCGAGGGGGGCTCCCCATTAAAAATCAAGTTACGGGGGGTAAAATACATGTTTTTGGCGGGGTTCCCCTGGTAAAATTCGCACTCCAGGGGCTAAATATCACATTATCGGTGTCGCTTTAACTCTCGGACATGAAAAACAACCTACGGCAACAGTGATAAAGTGGCCCAATTCCACGGGAAAACCACGGACTTGGCAACACTGACAGAGAGTGACTACTTATATAAGGACGAACTTTAAATTTTCCTAAATTCTCAGATGAGAGAGTGCGTTTGAGAGGATGCCCTTATGCCCACCTGAAACTCTTTTGACATTACTATGCCCATGTACACAATAGTTGAGGCTTTGCCTTCTGAAGGTACATTAGTTCAGCCTTGCATGGGGTTGTGAGAGACTGAAAAAGAGAAGTGAGAGAAAGCCCTTTGATGTGCTTTTCTCTTTTTATCAGAGAATTCTGTGCTTGGAATGCAGCTTTTGTCACAATTATGTTAGCCGGCTTAGATGTGTGGTTATTAAGCGTTTGAGAGTGGTAGAAAGCAAATTTAAAAGAAAAATTAAAACATTTTTAGATATTCATGGCATTTAGCCATACAGCTGTGCGTTTCCCATACACCGGCAGAACTCGTTGCTTAACCCCCATATTAAGATCCATCAATAGAAAAATGAACGAACTATTTCCCGAACTGTCACTGTTTCCCGAAACATACCTCTGTCACACCTCTGTCATTTGAACCACATTAATGATGAACCACCTTAATGATGTCACATGCAGGTGAAGTAATAACATTTTCCTAAAGACAGCCAGTCACACCTCAGCGATACATTCGTATAAACCCCCACCCCAATTGTATTGTGATTCGTTTAACATCTCAACTGAATTGAATGGTCACATATTTTCATCGATTTTCAACCAGCCCAGGGTGCATCGTTACATCCCTACATTTCATACTAACAAGAAACTATATGCTTCTAACTGAAATTTGAGAACTGTAGTTGCAATCACACAGTTTTCAGTCCTATTTGGCAGTGTTCCTTGGAACTATGGGAAACAACTGAATGTTGATAACAATGGAATAGTCGATTATAGTTGACTAACAATACACATCTCAGCATAGCACAAATTAATTAAAATAAAAATGAATGCTGAAAAATGCTGAACAGTAACATTAATGAATTATTTTGGCACATAATCTGTTTGCAGCCTTTTGTTAATTGTCTTGTTCATGTATCGTCTCCATGGAGTGTCTTAAAAGAAACCAATTATTATTGCTACAAAACCCAATTAAGCACCAATGAAAGGAGCCATAGTTATCGAAGGAACATTGTATTTTTTCATAATTTAGTTTAAAAGTTCTTGAGTTGCACCTGACAATTTTACCCTGAGAAGGAATATAACAATGAAGAGTATGGTGGGAATTTCCATCTTATGAGTTTAACCTCTGTAAAATAGCTTGCATGAAAAAATAAAAAATAAAAAAAACTAATAGTGACAATGGGTCAACACACTCAATATAAACTTAAGGTTAACAAAAAACACATTTTAGTATGGCTGCACGATTTGGGGAAAAAAATCAAATTGCGATTTTTCTGGTTAAAATTGTGATTTGCGATTTCAAATGTGATTTTTAAAGGGGTCATAGGATGCCCATTTTCCACAAGTTGATATGATTCTTTAAGGTCTTAATGAAAAGTCTGTAACATAGTTTGGTTAAAATTTCTCAATGGTAGTGTAAAAAACACTTTTTACCCTGTCAAAAACAGCTCTTTTCAGATCAAGCCGTTTTTGTAGCATTTTCCTTTAAATGTTAATGAACTCTGCTGACCCCGCCCCTCTCTTCCGAGCTGCTCTCAGAGAGACTGTACTAGTTACTTGGAAAAAAGTAATCTGATTACGTAACTCGCGTTACTTGTAATGCGTTACCCCCAACACTGACGACTGCTATGTTCATTATTACATCCAACAACAGTCGCTCAGGAGTCATTCTAGTCTACATCTGCTCCTCAGTCGCTTAGGAGTCATTCTTGTCTACATCTGCTCCAGCGGTGAAACAATGGCGGACTGATGACAGCTCACTCAGGGTGGGTCTAAGGTAAGACACCAGTCCAGTCTGTGCTGAAACGCTACTGTCAATCAAACTACTGTGGGAGGGGTCACACAGACAGGCATCTGAGATCGGCTCGATTTGAGAAAGGGTAAAACGTTTAACCAGATAAAAAAAAAAACACTGGGTGGATTTTTATAATTATAGGGCGGTTGTGTACACACACTGCCAACACACATTTCAGTTCAAACAACTTGTAAAAGTGCATGTAGCATCCTATGACCCCTTAAAAACAAATTAACAAAAAAAAAAATAATAATAATTAGATAAAAAAGTTAATGAGAAGAACAATAATAATTTTATTTGACAGAAAACGACAAACGACAAGTTTTACAAACAACTGCAGGGTTATTTGTTTACATGCAAAATCTTTGACAGTAATTTATTAGTTTTTATCAAGAGGTATGTAAAGTCAAAAAACAGTCCATGTCTTTAATATGAAATATGAGCCTTTTATGCACCTACAGGGGGAAAAACATCTCCTGTACAATTCTATACAATGGAGAAAAACGTGGATTATCATGTTTACTTCAAATTTCTTTAGAGAGAAGTATTATTTTTCCTCTATTAAAATTATATTATTGCCTTTATTACAGTATAGAATATATTCTCTTTCTCATTCTGTAATAAGAAGCGACACCAGGTCACAAAATTAAGTTATTTCAAACACTTGACTGATGTTGTGGGGTAAAAACATTTTTCTCTTTTGTTGTATAACAGGTTAATAAATGCTTCTCATTACGTTTGGGAGGATGTTTGGCGCGTGTTGCTTTTTCAGATGCATGTTAAAAGCGACTCAAACTCACACAGTACTTGCAGAGATGGAGCAGCATTTACTACTGACTCTGTGCAAATATTTATTTAATAAAAAAATCGC